GAGAAGGAAAAAAAAAGATAAAAAGTTTCCGGTTGGACAGAAAGAAGTAAAACTCTTCATATTTGCAGATGACATGATAGTATATGTAGATCATGTTAAAGTATTTATTAAAAATTACTGTACTAATAAATTAGCTCAGCAAGTTTACAAAGTATGAGATACAGAAAAAATTATCATATTTCTGCATACTGGCATCTGGAATTGAAATTAAGAAAACAATTCCATTTTTGAAGATGTGCAAAAGAATAAAACACTTAAGAATAATTTCAATAAAAGAAGTTTGAGACTTGCACCACTGGAAATTACAAAACATTGTTGAAAGAAATTCAAGAAGATCTAAATAAATGGAAAGACATCCCATATTCCCAGACCAGAAAGACTCAATATTATTAAGATGAAATACTCCTCTAAATTACTTACAGTCAAAGCAAATAAATCCCTATTAATATCTCAGCTTATTTTTTCCCCCAGATATTGACAAAATGATCCTAAAATTCATAATGGATGTGCAAAGGACCCTGGATAGCCAAAATTATCTTTAAAAAGAAGAACAAATTTGAGGCTAGGGCTTAGACTTCCTGGTTTCAAAACTTACTACAAAGCTACAGTATTCAAAACAGTGTGGCAATGGCATAAGGATAAACAAATCAATGGAACAAGAGTTGCAAGTTTAAAAATAAATGCATTTATGGCTTGTTAACTTTTGGCAAAGATGTCAAGACAATTTGATTTAACAAATGAAATGTCTAGTGGTTGGACAAATGCTGTAACAACTGGATGTCCATGTGTAAAATAATTAAGTTAGAGTCCACCTTACAGTACACATACAGATTATCTCAAAATTAATCATGGATCTAAGTGTAAAAGCTAAAATTACAAAATGCTTAAAAATGTATAAGAATGAATCTTCATGACCTTTGGCCGTGCAATGATTTCTTAGCTTCAACCACAGAAGAACAAGCAACAAAAGAAAAAAAAAGTAAAATCAGATTTACCAAAATTAAATTTTTTAGGCTTTAAAGGATACTATCAAGAAAATGAACTCACAGAATGGAAAAAAATATTTGCGAAACATGTATCTTATAAGGGTCTAGTACTCAGAATATATTAACAACTCTTACAACTCAAAACAACAAAGACAAATAACACAATTAAAAAACAGGCAAAGTATTTGAATAGACACTTATCACATAAGATATTCAAAGGCCAATAATTATGCAAAAAATGCTCAACCAGTCAGTTGAGAAATAAATGAAAACCACAATGGGTAAATGAAGATAATAAAAAAGATTGACAATAGTAAGTGTTGGCAAGGAAATGAAGAAACTGATGGGAATGTAAAATAGTGAAGTTCCTTTGGAAAACAGCTTGGAAGTTCCTCGAGAAGTAAAACACAGAGTTGCCACATGACCCAGAATTTCCACCCCTAGGCGTACACTCAAGAGAAATGAGGACATGCGTTAATGCAAAAGTGTGTACACAATGTTTGCAGCAGCATTATTCATTATAGGCATGAAGTGGAAACACCTCCAAAGTCATCAATGGATGAATGGATAAACACAAGGTAGCATTTCCATACAAAGGGAGATTACTCAGCCCGGAAAGAAATGAAATAAAGATGTATGCTACAACATGGATGAACTTCATAGCATGCTAAATGAACAAAGTCACAAGAGACCCCATTTATATGATCCCATTTGTATGAAATGCCTAGAATAGGAACATATATACCAAGACAGAAAGTAGGTTGGTGGTTGCTTAGGGAAGGGGATGGGAGGTGGGGCATGACTGGTCTTGGGTACTGGGCTGAGTTTCTTTTTTGAGGTAATGAAAATGTGAACTTAGATTGTGATGAAATTAGATTATGAATATACTAAAAACAATTTAGCCGTATGCTTTGAATTGGTGCATTTTATGGTATGCAAGTTCTGGTAATTAAGTTTGCGAACTCACCCTGGATGAAGTGCTGCATCCCTCATTGGTGAATGTTACTATGATCACCTTCCAAGGACTCCTTCCTCCCCTTGGCCATCCGGCGACCATAGTGATGGTCAGCAATGAGCTATGTACCACTTCTTCTAGGATGAATGCATGAACTTAATTGTCAGACCTTATATGAGGACAGCTCTGATTGCTGTTTCAGAAAAAGAGTTCCAAAATTGCTTTGAAGGGTGGACTAGGCACTGATGTCCGTGTACAGCTCCCCAAGGGGAGCACTTCAAAGGTGACCATAGTGATATTCAGCAGTGGGATAGGTGGCACTTTTTCGGGCTATCTGACCTCATAGGAATTATATTACAATAAAGATATATAAGAAAACTAAATATAGAAAACCAACTTAGAGCTGATGGGACAGAGGGAGAGGATACACTGTATGACTCCCAGGGTGTGGCTTCTTGTGACTGTAGGGTCCATTATGGTTTTCGTCTAGGTTGGGGGATGGATCCGCCAGGCTCAGGTCGAGAAAGGAACTCTTGGACCAGCCTGACCTTGCCCTAACACAACTCAGGTGGCGTTTCCTCGTGGCCAGGCATCTGCAGTAATAGGGATGAGGTGCACTTGTAATAACTTGTGATTTGTCATCTGAAAACCACTTTCCCCTTATCTTGTGGCATCATTGCCGTAATTCCCACGTGATAGGGGATCCTGAACCAGAGGTGTGAAGGGGCTTAGCCAAGGTTCACCAGCATCATGCCTGTGGCAGAGTGAACAGCCTGGTGCTCCACCTATGCCCAGATGCTCCCTCCTGTGTCTGCAGCATGTCTGCTCTGCTTTCTGCTGAGTGAGGTGGGCTGTGACAGGGTCAGCCCTTGTGGTCTTGGTTTTTCTGCAAGGATGAGGATTCCATCTGCTGTGCTGGGATACTATGGATAAGGGTGTAGTTGCAGACATGTGCTTATCTGCTTATAAGGTGGTGCTACTTCCCTGTGTGGCCCTCTGATGGTGAAGGTTCAGGTCTATTTAATGATCTCATTCCAGCCTTTTTTATTTTTGATAGCAGGAAGAGTGTTTGAGAGGTTTACTTTTCCAACCTGGGTAAGATCATCATTGTCCTCTGATGCTGCGCACCAGCAGACTCTCCCTTAACTGGTGATGTCACCAGGAAGCCCAGATGTGTCAGAATCATCTGCAGTTTATCAGAAGAACTCCCAAAGCACCCTCACCTCTGAGATACATCCTTCCACAAATAACACTCTAGCACGTAGCTGTACGGAGTGTTTATTAAACAGGATCTGACAGCTCTGACACCACACTCTCAGGTTTGCCTCTTGTGGCCTGGCCATCCAGCTCTGCTGGCTTGGGGTTCCGAGGATGGAGCTGCTCTGAAGCTCAGGAACATCCAGCTCCCTGAGGCTGGTCGCATTAGTGCCGTGTGGGTATCAGTGGCCATCACATTCCCCTTCTCCTGGCTCCCAGCCTGTCAGAAATGGGACATGGTCCCTGCCCACCTGTTCCCATTGTTCACTCTTCTCTGACTGTGGACTGTCATATCCTGAGGTCCTGCCTCAGTGGCAGCTACAGAACAGCTCTACAGCTCTCACCTTTGAGGGCTTACAGGAATGAACTTGGTAGCCATTTGTCATCATTTGCTTTGAGAGAAGCTCTGGGTTCTTGCAGGCAAAGCTCTGCTTGCTGAGAACACCTGCTGGATTTAGGTCCCAGACTGATACCAACTTCTGGCTGGCCATTATTTCCATGCCTTTGAAAAATAACTTGTGAAGGAGGTCGAAGAGTGTCTGAGAACAGACACAACTCTCTCCTCTAAAGTGTGAAGAAAGAGTATGGTCTGAGCTCCTTCCCTGGAGCCCTGGCATCGGCTTGCTCCCTCGGCCTGGGGAGCGGCAGGACCCTTCCTTCTGATTGCCCATCCCCTGCAGCTGCCTACATGGAATAGCATCTGCTCTTCCCAGTGACAGTCTCACAGACCAAAGGTCACTTTTTTAAAAGCAGAAACTATATTGCAAATCCTTTCACAGAGAAGATCTGATTCCTATTTCTTTGTTCCTTCTGGTTAATTGTCGCTTCTGCAGCCCCACAGCAGAGAACTTGCCTGCAGCCCTTTCCTCTGCCTAGTGCTTCTTCCCTCCCACTTTGAACAAACATATATTTACACCTATTCTTCGGCAGGCACCTAAGCATGCCGGGGCCACTGCTCTGTGGTTTGTGACCCTTTGAGTCACTGCCTCTGGTCCTGCACACAGTGGGCACTCACTGCTTCCGGTGTTCTGGCATTTATGGCCGAAGATTGTCACAGGCTTTCGGTATGTCACTTTGCATCATCAACTTGGAATCTTGGACAGGCCCATGTGGTGGGGATGCAGGGACCCCGCCACCCCAGATCTGTGCTCGTCTGGCCTGGCTCTCTGGTAGTGAGCACAGAAGCGGCATTGTTGCCCTGAGCAGCCCTGTAACTCCCGCTGGTCAGCCCCAGCCCCAGAGCACGCAGAGAATGTGGCCCACGGCCGGGCAGCTCCCTCCCTGAGGGTTTGCAGCCTCCCATCCCCTCTGTGAACAATATCAGGACCGTGGCCATGTCTAGCCTTTGAGGTGCTGAAATAGCTGATGCATCTCTGGGCCTTCAGAGCTGTGTTGTGGCATCAGAGATGGGTGGACCATAGGGTCCTTGCTGAGTGCTGAACCCCAAAGCAGAAGTAAGGGAAGCCCAGAGGCTCTGTCCCTTTTGGGGCGGAAGCAGTGGGACCTGCAGCCTGTGTGAAGTGGGAGTGATGTTCTCTTTGGGAAAAACAGGGATTCCCCACAGGTGGCTCAGGAGGGAGGAGCGGGGCTCTTCCCATTGGTGCGTGCCTTTTTTGTGCCTCCCTCGGGGTGTCTGCCAACCCTGGGGCTATTACACCTTCCAGTGGCCCCAGAGGCCAGGTACCTCAAGGATGTCTGGTCACCCTGTAAGGAGCTGACCTCTGAAGACCCTGAGCTCCCTGGAGGGCCCGAGGACATCAGGAAACTCCAGGCAGGATCACTGGTCTCTGCAGTGAGAATTCCCAGGCCGGAGGGAGCAGCTCAGAATAGGTCAGTGGTCATGAAAGAAGACAGGTGAAGTGGGGCCTGGGTGCGAGGGATGATGGGGGCTGTGTCGGACATGGTCTCCTCTGGCTCACTGTCCCCCTCGTCCAGGCCTTCTGTGAGGGATGGGATGATTCGGACCACGTTGTCTTCAAAGTGCACCTGCTTCTTCCTGGCCAGGGAGTCAGCTGGCTCTAGACTCAGCTCCATCAGGGCTTCTGGGGCCTGCAGGGGGCTGGGCTTCTTGGCCCCCTTCAGGATGCTCTTCATGTGGATGAAGAGGGAGCTGGGCCCCTCCTTGAGGGCCCCGTGAAAGGTGTAGGTTTGCTCAGTGTCCCCAGAGCCTGTGGTACTCGTGGCGCTGCCGGAGGGGTCTGTGTACTGCTCCGGGGGGCCCAGCACCTCGGGGGCAGCTTTCCTCTTCTTCCGCTTGCTTAGCAGGAAGTAGGCCAGGCCAGTGACGATGAGCATGGAGCCTGGAAGAGAGGGGGAGGTCAGAGTGCTGGACGTGTGCAGAAAACAAGAGGCTGTGTGGGCCTATGGTCCTCGCATCCCAGGGCTGTGTGGTCATGTTCAGGCCTCTGTGGCTCCAGTCCTTACACTTTGCATGTCCTTGCATTCCATAATGACTCAAGGGGGAGGCTGGACCCCAGCAGAAGGATGCAAGTAGGGCCAGTGCTGTGGAGCCGAGCAGCTGGGCCCAGTTTGGAAATCAAGGCAGGACTCCATCTGGTCCTCAATGGCCCTCTCTGTTCCCTCAGCCCAAGGCCATTTTGTCGACAGTGGCCCTGCTACAGCCCACCTGGATCCCCATCCCCAGGCTTAGTCTTTACCCCAGGACAGAACTTTGGACTAGACCCGTCCTGCCTTCAGCGGCCTGGACGCTATTTTGGATATTGGGTCCTGACTGCTAAACTGGGCTTCCTTTCATTCCCAGAAATTGGCAGGGAGATCCCCTTTTATTTCAGCCTTCCCAACCGTCACCCAGTAACTCAGAAGAAAATGCAAATCTCTTTGGGTCGGGCTGGCTTTATGTTGGTCTCCCTCGGGGTTCCCTCATGGACAGTGCCTCCCAGTCCTGAGCTCTGCTCTCAGTCTGCTGGGAGCTCAGCCCTGCCCAGAGCTTTTCCTGGGAGCTTTTCCCTGCAAGTGGAAAAGTGACTGTGGGTGCCTCCCAGAGCCAGAGCCTCCTGTGTGGGTTTCCCTGTCTGAGCAGCGAGGGGCTGTGCCTTGTTCTGGTCTGGTCAGTGCTGAGTCTTTTCAGGAGTCTGCCTAGAGAGGCTAAGACAGGCACAGGGAAAAATATGGCAGGAAGGATGGCAGCTCTGCTTTTCAGCATAGTCTCCCTGGAGCGTCAGCTTCTCTGTGTTTTAGATGGGTTCATGATGAGGGTCACAAGTTTAATAGATAGGAAATAGCAGAAAAGATCATGGACAAAAACAAAAGGGTGGGAGCAGTGAATCCTGGTTTCTGCAGCCCAAACTGGGCTGACTAGTAGGTGCACCAGGTAGAGTGGAAACTGGAGACGATGTTGGGAAGTCTTTGGGGGCACCATGGGGTGCCCACCAAACCTGGCTCAGAAGTTGGGGCCTTGAATGGGTAGGCACTGGGGAGAGCAGGACTCAGAGCCCACCAGCTGTGGGGGGCACATGCCTGACTACCCTGCCCCCACCCTGCCCCACGTTCCTACCTGGGATGGTCACGTGCCAGACCAGGACAGGGTGGAGGAAGCAGGCCACGGACAGTAGCATGTAGGCCAGGAACTTCTGGAAGCAGCCCAGCCAGTGGGCCTTCTCCCTTGCTCTGTCTGCCAGGGACCCCGGCTCACACCTGTGGGATGGAAGTCCAGGGTTAGCAGGACACAGCCTAGGAGAGCTCCAGCCACATGGGAGGCTGGTGGGGGCAGGGGAGGGGAAGGGCAGGGCCCTAGCCCTGTTGTGGTTGTTCTCTGCAAAGCCCCCTGGCTGAACACCTTGCAGTGGTTAGAGTCCTGGAGGGCCCCTGGGGCCCTTACTATAGGTTCCGTGGTTTGTCAGTTCCTCTGAGTCCCTCTAGAGGGTCCACAATTTTTCTGAAAGACTGCTAGCCCTGTTTATCTGGTCAAGGAGAGTGGGAGGCAAATGCTCTCAGTATGCTACAAGGGGCTGTGAGGAGGAGAGAGGAAGGCCCAGGGCCCACTGGGAAGTCCACAGAGAAGTAGGGAAGGTGTGTGGGAGCCACCCACCTGGACAGTTATGCAGGTAGTGCACTGCACTAAGGGGCCTGGCCAGGTAGGTGAACAGGCTGGAATCTAACAGTGACCTGCTCCCTGAGCCTTGCCTAGGCATTGGGACAGCATTGGTTCAGAAGGGCTTTTTCCCTCACTATACACAGGGAACACACATGGCCTTGGTAGGTGTCTGATGTTGAGAAAGTTTCTTCAGTGGCACTGCCTCCAGATTTCAAAGGAGGAAGATGCCTGCCTTTAGATTCATATTTTTCATCCTCTGAACTGGCCTAGAGCAGAGGCTGTGGACAGGGATAGATTCCTCCCACATGCAAAGGCCTGGGCTGCTATAGCTCACTCCTGCCCCATGGTGGTCATCCTGTGTGTTGGCATCCTGCGTGTGTAAAATTCCCCTTCACATTCAGAGTCCTTTCCTCCCTTGCCTTAGCCCCACCCCCAGGGAAGTTTCAAGGACCCCTTGGCAGTGAAAGTTAGCAGAAAGGGGAAGCCCCCAGAAAGGTTATTATCTTAGGGCTGGCGAGCCTGAGAGGCAGCCAGTGGCCTTGCAAGCTGCTTGGACAGCTGGATTTAAGGCCAAGCTCTCTCTCTGCCACTCATGACAGCTTTCACATACTGACCATCGGCTGGACAGCAGAGGGGACTCCATGGCCACATGGCCACCGGATCCTAAAGTCTGCACTCCTCCCCGCAAATGGGAGTGTGGCCCCTGACTTGTCCCTGGTTATAGTAAGAGGCAGAGTCAGTTCCCAAACCCCACTTGGCTCACTCTAAGCTGGGCCTTGTACAGGGTCCTCACTCCATGGCGGGAAGTGTGGACACAGGTGCCCAGAGACTGGTCATTTCTAGGAACTGACGACAAGGATTGCTGGCCTTTCCCGGGGGATTCTGGGCAGGAGCAGACCCTGGGTGAGTGGCTCAGCCAACTCCCTTGGCTAGAAACAGGGGACAGGTGACTGAGCCACATGGGCCTGAGTCCACCTCTAGGCTGGGGCTTGCTGTACAGTGGAGGGGAACCTGTCATGGTAACTATAAGAGCAGGACATCCCCCAGTCATGGCCTCTTGGGCAGAGGCATCTGGGGTATCTGGGAGTGGGGTGGCAGTGCTGGAGGGGCCTCTCTGGAGGCTACTTACTGGAAGCAGATGGCCAGCAGCTGAGCCACAAAGTACGCCCCTTCGCATACAGAGACGGCGGCTCCTGTGAACCTATAGGTGGAGACAGGTGAGGGAGGCTGGCGCTTCTGACCCTCCCTTCACTATCTCAAGGGTTGTCTTCTCGCAACACCTGGGCCTCCTGAGCATCTGTGGCCTGCAGACTGATTGGGCTATTTTGATCTAAAAGTGTCCCTCAGATCTCCCTCACTAGGGATGGTCCTGGGCCAGGCCACGTGGTGGAGGAGGTGAGATCTGGGGCTCAGAGACCGGTGAGGAGGAAGTTGCAGGCAGCAAGGGGATGGGCTGCACCCTGGCCCCCTGTGTGGACACTGACAGGCACGTCTTTCTATCTGCTGGTCACAGGCCCAACACACACTGCCTTTATGCTGGATCTGTTCCTCGCTCTTCCTTTCACCTCTTTTCCCATCATTCAAATAGTCACTAGGACTGCTGATTGTACCTCTTAATTTCCTTTGGAACCATGGCTATTCTCTCTGGCCTTCTGGCATCACCTGGGTTCAGCCCTGCTGCCAGACCCCTGCACCACTCCCCTGGGTCTCCCTGACCCTGGCCTGTCTCCTGCTCCTTCACTTTGTCACACCTGACTGCCGAGGGCTCCTCTGACCCTTGAATTCCATCATGCTCCTCCTGACCCAGAATGCTTCCATCGTGGTCCAGGAACTCTCCAGTTAGAATTTGCTGGGGAATATGTAAAATAGGTTCCTGGGTTACCCCTAGAGTTTGCATATCAGAACCTTTGGAAATGAGGCTTATAGGTATGTTTGTGGAGAGTCTCCATGGCTAATACAGTGAAATTTCTCAGTACGTGTTTTAAAGCCATTCAGAAACCTTCATATTTCTCTCCCTACATGAGAAACTATCAGGTGCCACAGGGCTTTTGCACAAGCTACTCCACTTTGAAGGGCCTCCCTCTTCCCTCTCAAGTCTGTCTGTGACCTGTTGCTTCTCCATGATATGACCAGGGTTACCCATCTGTGCATTCCCTCCGTGTATCCCAGGCCCCGCCTGGGTTGGGCTTACTGTTCAGTGCTCCATAAATGTACATGGCAGTGAATGAGTGAGAGTAGCTGCTGCTGTATGGGAAGGTGGCTCAGAGACACCATGTTGCCATGGCTACTAATCAGCTATGTGACCACAGGTACAAAGCTAGGCCACTCCATGCCTTAGTTGCCTCGTCTGTAAACTGAAGGTAGTTACAGTGCTTCAGTAGTAAAATTATTATAAGAATTAAGTGAGTTGATATTTGTCAAGGCTTTAGGACCAGAATTGGCGTAGAAATTATATAAATCCTAGTTATCGTCTCTCTCTCCCTCTTTGTGACCATTTAGGACTTGATCTGAACTTTCTCTGACTCTCTATGCCTCCCAGAGTCTGCCTAGTGCTTGTCCTTCAGTTTTATAATAATAATAACTGACATTTATAAACTGATCACTGTGGGTCAAGCACCATTGTAATGGCTTTACAAATATCAACTTCTTTAGTCCTTGCAAAAATTTTATTACAAGTACTATAATTACCCTCAGTTTATAGATGAGAAAACTGAGGCACAGAGAAGTTAAACTTCTTGCCTATGGTGACACAGCTGATTAGTAGCAGGGGTAAGATTACGACCCAGCATGTAGAGTATAGAACCTGTGTGTCTAAGATACACACAAAAGCACATGCTTTGTGCAATAATCAGCATTGCCTTTTTCTATACCCAGGGACAGAGGGAAAAATTAAACCATGAGAAATAAAGTGACCCATTTAGACTTCCTGTCCGGTGCTAGTGAATGGCTGATAGGGACAGATGGGGCAGGCCACGGGTGCTGGTCCTGCCGTGGTTAGAGAGAAGGGCATAGGCAGAAAACAGAAACTAGTTCAAAGTGAGGGGAAGAGGACCTGAGGCTGGACTGGACCACCCAGTGACCAGATGGGTAAAGCAGTTTGCATTCACCTGCCATGGACCTGACCTGAAATTTAGGCCCATACTACAGAGGATGAAGGCCTGCCTGCTTCTGTGGCCAGGGACAGAGTCAATAAGACACAGAGGGCATTCAGAGCAAAGTGAAGTCACTTCCAGCCAGCAGGGGCTCCAAGCTCTGGGCAGCTTCCCAGGGTGGAATGGTGGGAAGGGAGCATTCAGCTTCGAGAATGCTAATTTGGATGGGAGGTACTTGGGTGCTCAGTGGAATGGGCAAGGTGTGTTTGTGAAAGTGTGAGAAGCCCCCAGGTGCAAATGATGGTGAGAAATAAGGCAGTGACTCTGATGGCATGGTGTGGACTGGAGGTGGTGGGAGCTGCTGGGAGTTGTTGCAAAGCTCTGTGTGTCTAGGTTGGGAATAGGCTTGGGAGGGAAGCCCAAGGCTGGGAGCCACCAAGCCTAGAAAAGAGCCTGCCTTACGCGAGCAGAAAGGGGAAGGGTGGGATGGACAGGTAGCCACAGGCCAGCCACTGTGACAAGGGTGGAGGTGGAGGCTGAGGAGGGAGAGCCGGGGAACAGCTCTGGGACAGACCTGGACCAACTATCACCAACTGTTACCCACAACTTCTCAGCTCAGTAAGCCTGTCAGCACCTGGGGGGCTGAAACACACAGGCTTCTTGGAAGAAACTACTGGTAGCCCCTCAGGTTGGGGCTGCAGGGACGCTGTGTCCCTCCTCATCCTCTCAGTCCATTGCTAGGTGATCTCTTTTCCTCCAGAATGTGTTTGCAGACTGAGGTAGTGGTGAAGAAAGGACAGCGCCTGGGGAATGAAAGGGGCTTGGGTGCAATTTGGCCCTGCTGCTCCAGTGATGTGGGTGGACAGCAGCCTCCCTGTCAGCTGTCTGTAATTTCCTCTCCCATATACTAGGCCAATGTGCACTTCTCCCATGGTGGTGTGAGTTAAATAACAAAGTGTAAATGAGACATTTAACTGTGTTTGGCATGTATAGAAGCTTAAGTATGTATTCCCTCGACCCAATTCCCCTCTTTCGAAAACAAGAGCTTGGTTGATGTTTGCCAAATAAGGAAATGATTGAAGAGATGTATGGATGGATAGGTGGATGGATGATTGGATAGGTGGGTGAAGGCATGGGTGGGTGAATGGATGGATGGGTGGGTAGGTGAGTGAGTGTTTGAGTTAATGGATAGATGGATGGATGAATGGATGATTGGATGGGTAGGTGAATGGGTGTGTGTGTGTGTGTGTGTGTGTGTATGAATTAGTGAGTGGTTGAGTTAATGGATAGGTGGGTGGGTGTATGTATGGATGAATTTAAGGATAATTGATTGGCTTATGGGATGGTTTGCCCAAATCAGGAGCTATCCTAGAAGCCTCTTTGATATTTTCCATTTCCAGGATAGGATGGAATAATTGGGAGGGGGCTGCTCTGGGTTAGACTAAGTGGACAGATGGAGGGTGAGTTGGAGCAGAACTTACAGGAAGGGAGGGGCCCACGCACACATACTCACAGCAGATAGAAAGCCAGGCTTTTGAATTGCCCCTGGAGGAAGGTCTCAGTTCCCACGCCGATCAACACTAAAGACCAAGAGGAGATGGCACAGTGGGCCTGGTGCTCCACACCATAGCACTGTCCTGCTGAAGGATCCTGGGCTATGGAGTGAGCCTTCTCCCTGAGGACTCAGAACCAGGATGGATTCTTCTCCTCATGCCATAGGTAGCTGTGGCTGGGAAGGTGCAAGAGAGCTGGAAATCTCTTGGATTTGTCCCTGGAAACCCCAGGCAGAGCCCCAGAGGGCTTCTGATCCCCCCTCCCCAGAGCATAGGTGCTGCCTCCTCTGCCACTGGCCATGCATCCACCCTTAGTGCCCCTAGGGGCTGCCCACACTAACATGTCACTAGCCCCTCAGTTCCATGTCTGTGATCCTCCCCGTGTGGTGGTCCAAGCCACTGTGTGCTGTGTGTCTGGCTACAGTGCTCGGCCACAGGGAGCCCTGCCCTGGCCAGTCCCCTCGCCCAGGTCGTGGCTTCTGCTTCCCTTGCTGCTGCATCTGGCACTCCAGGCTCCCTGCTTTGGACCAAGTGCTGATTAACCCCTGGGGTTTCACTCAAGCCGGAGATGCTGCTCCTCCTGGGCTCCCCTCCTGCCCTTTCTTGGCAGTTAGTATCAACATTCCATTTGCTCAGGGTGAATTTAGTCTCAGACTTGCCTCTCCAGAATTTCTGGCTCTGGGTGCTTTCCTCCCAGGGGTTCCCTCCAGCAGCACAGCTGGGGCCCTGTCCAGTAGGGATGGAAGCATCCCATGGGCAGTGCATCAGCCCACTGATGGCCCCTTTCTGCCCTTGACTGGTCACACCCCTGGGCACCCTGCATTTCTCTCTCTGGCTCTGATGACTCACCCTGCTGTGTGCTGGAGTGTGGCTTCACCCTGACTCCCTCCCAGACAGCCCAAGATCGCTGGCTGGGCTGTCAGCCTTGGCAGCCTGTGTGAGGTCATGGCTTTGTTGCTGCTGCTCAAGAGGGCTGCTTTCCTGGGTGCTCCAAGCTGAAGGGAACTCCACTGCTGAAATGCTGCCTCAGTGAAGCCACCAGCATCTCTCCTCCTCATTCCAGGAGACGGTGGGAATACTTGGGGAAAAGGGAGCAGTGTGCTCCGATCTAGGCCGGGAGGGAGGTGGTTCTGTTTCCTGAGAGGTGGAGGGAGGCTCGGGTGCTCTGGCATGCTGGCTTGCCTTGGGTGAGGGCTGGCCATGCTGGGTCAGCCCAAGTGGAGACCAGCCTTGCAGGACACTGTAGAGCTTACACATGATGCTCACACATACAGCCTGCTCCTCATAGCAACCCCGTAGCACAGGAAGTCCTGTCCTCTCCACTTTACAGAGAAGGAGAATGAGATTCAGTGACCTTGTGTATCTCACTCACAACCTTGTGTAGGGCACAAGCTAAAAGTGAGGACCCAGAGACCAGGCTGAGACTCTTGGCTCCTGGAAGTACAGTTTGCTGGCACCCACTGTCTGCCAGTGTGGGTGTGCAGATGTGTGTATGTGTGTGTGAGTGGGCATGTGAGTGTGCCTATTTGCAAATGTGGGAATTTATGTGTGTGATTGTGAGGTGTATGACTGTGTGTGTGTTGTGTGTCTGTAGTGCTGGCAAATGGCCATTTATTTTGTTTTCACTATGTATTCTGTTCTGTTCTCAGCACTTAGGATTTATTAACGTCTTTAATCATTGTAGCAATCTCATGCTAAGGTACTATTGTTACTCCCATTTTACATTAGGAAACTGAGGCACAGAGCATATAAGTCCAACCAACCAAGGAACAAACCACGGATGCCTAGCTCAGATCTCACATTTGCCGGTTAATAGCTAAGCTTCGTTTTCACCAATATACCTCCTGCAGGTAGATGTTATGAGGACTCAGTGAACTAATTGATGGCAAGCACATCACGGGTGCTCAATGAATCACTCATTAGTTTTTTGGTACAAGGGTCCAGCCTGCCTCAGCCTGGGGAAGGATCTTGGGCTCAGGGCTGATGCTCAGGGCTGTGCACTTCCAGGGAAGGTGGGGTAGTCGGAGAGGTTCTGTGATAAATGACCAGCAGATGGCAGAGAAGAGTTTTGGGAACTGAACGCCTTCGCCTGATTCACAGCCATTTGGGATATGGAGAGCTATTTTGATGCCTTCGGTTTTGTACATTTTAGACTGAGATGAGGGATCAGCAGTCAGGGGGTCACTGGAAGACCACTGCAGAGGCAGCATTGGTTTGTATTAAAAAATCAAGGTAACTGCAATAGGGAACCAAGAGGTGAGTTGGAATTCCAGTTCTGCGTGTTATTTCCTGAGTAAACTGGAGAGTACTTAACCCATCCAAGTTGGGTTTTCTCATCTATAGAAAGGGCAGAATAAGTTATATCTCAGAGTCATTGCTCTGATTAGAGATAGTAACAAGGCTGGAACACACAGCTTTTTGCCCGATAGATGTCAGGTAGCCAGTGCAAAAGTGTGGCTCCTCAGTCCCTCCAACCACTACCCCTGCCTGACCTCTGCCCTGCCAGCTTCCCAGCTTCCAGCCAGCCACTGTGCACAAGGGGAGTGGGGTCACTCTCTACAAAGCTTGCTCCCAACCCCAGCTGAGCAGATTCTCTGCCTGGGGACAGAGGGTGCCCTTTGGATGGAGGAGGAGAGTGTAGGGAGTGAGGAGTACACATCCTCAGCCCAGGTACAGCTTCAGGAGATCCACTGGGGTTCCTATGGGAGGATATAAGGCTCTTTGACACCTGGGCCAAGGGGCCACCTCCTTTATTTATTTACTTATTTATTGAGACAGAGTTTCACTTTGTCATCCTTGGTAGGAGTGTTGTGGCCTCATAGCTCCAACTGTTGGGCTCAAGTGATCCTCTTGTCTTAGCCTCCCAAGTAGCTGGGACTACAGCACCTAGCTATTTTTAGACACAGGATCTTGCTCTGGCTCAGGCTGGTCTTGAACTCCTGGGCTCAAGCAATCTCCAAGCCTTGGCTTCCCAGAGTGCTGGGATTACAGGTGTGAGCCACCACACCCGGCCTTGGGGCTGCCTCCTTTTGATTGACCCTTCAGTTCCAGGGTTCATATTCCTGGAGGCATGATGTCCTTCCTGTCACCCACACGGTTTGTCTGTGGTCTCAGGCTCAGGCTGTGTCTGCTGGGAGCTGCACACACACACTCCTTGGTATGCTCCTGGCAGCTCTTCCTATGATGAGGCCATCTGCTCTTCTGTGGTGTCTTGTTGGGGTGATTTGGGGTCAGGCCCAAGGTGGGCTGCAGTTAGGCATTAGGTCAGATTTGGGTGTGCTTGGTCCAGCAGGGGAGATGCATTTGAACTGAACAAAGTGCCCACAGTGAGGACAGCAAGCCACGCTGTACAGGCAGGGGAGGGGTCCTCGCCTAAGAGCTCTGGGGTCAGATAAACAAGGGGCCCTTCCTGGGCCTATTGGGAAAGAAGACACAAAAATGATTAAACCCAGCTAGACCAGCAAGGTAGGCAGAAAATGGACATGTGCAAGTGTCCAGGCATTTCAGGAAGAGGACTCCCATAGCAGCAAGTCATGGAGGCAAGAGCCTGTCTCTGGAGCAGGGGCACAGTGAGGTGGGCAGTGTGTGTGGCTTGAGGTGATTGTGGGCTGGGGGAAGGGGGGCGTTGGGTGTTCTGAAGCAGCAGACAGCCATGTTCAGACTGCTATTTCAGGAAGCTCCCTGACCCCAGGTGGAGGGGTTCAGAGACTTTGGCAACACTTGGCAGTGGCTAAGGGACAGAGCCCAGTTCTGGGTGCTCCTGGCCTCCCCTCTCCTGGCTCACTGGCACCTGCTAGTCTTTTTGTTGGCCTTGGCTTGAAGCTCTGGCTACGGCTCCTGACAGTGTGGCTCAGGTGGCCCTGTCCTCCTGTCTCACAGCAGGGCACTTGGCGCAGGGGCCTGGGAGGAGGCAACATGGTCTCTGACCGGGGGCCCAGAAAATGAGGCTTCCCAAGTAAAAAAGCACAGGGCATGCCCCATCATTGCCTGTTGGATTTTTGGCTTTTTCTGGGCAGTGGAGGGCAGAGGTGTGGGCTGGTCACAGGTAGCCAGAGGCATCTGGTTTGGAAGCTCCCTGGCTGTGCCAACCCTGCTGCTTTTTAACAAGGTGCCACCACATGCCATGCACCATAGTAGGCCCTCTGCCTGCAATTTAATCTGCACATGCCCTGAGGTGGGAACCGTCAACCCTATAACTCATGGGAACATGCAAACAAGTCTCCTGGGGATGGAGCATCTTGCTGGTGGTACACAAGCAGTCAAGGGCCATGAGAAGCTAGGATGTGGGTTCAATTCCCAGTAGTCCTGAGGCCCCAGGCAGGGGTTGGGGGAGGACTGGGGTGAGAACGATGCATGTGGGGAGGACATTTCCTTAGGGCCTCCATGGGCACAGAAGTGGCCATGTGGAGCGATGTCATCCCTGTGCCCTCTCTCCAACCAGCTGTGTAATATCTACATCAGCCCAAAGGCAGGAGGCCACCTCTTTACTGCTGCAAGCTGTGGGTTAGAGTGGAGACAGTCCACCTGTCCTTCACCCTAGGCACCTGGCAAGGAGCCCTCATTCTGGGCAGAGCATTCTTTTACAGTCAGGAGCAGCCATGGCTGGAATCTCCCCTGCCAGGGCAGTTCATTCCAGTGGTCTCCTGCAGTCACAGACCCTCATTCCCAGTGTGTCCTCTGTGTGAGGCCTCAGGAAGGCACATGCTTGCAAAGTAAATACTCGCTGAAGCCTGGGAAGTCTATCCCCACAAATGGAGGATGTTGAGGGTGGAAACAGCCCTAGTGCTCTGGGAACAGGACGAGGGTGTCTCTATTCTGCATGGGAACCACGGAGGGCTTCAAGGAGGAGGAAGGCGGAGTGAAGCTGGGGAGATGGTACAGTCTGGAATTGTGCCTCCATGCACAGGAAAGGAGGGAAACCTTGACTCTGGTGTGTCTCTTGTAGCTTCCAGGGCTGGGCAAGGTCCCAGAAATGGATGAACTTAGGAAACAGTCAGAGCCAAAGCACCAGATAAGCCACCTCAGCC